CGCTTGGAAATTTAAATTTCCACTACTAACTAACTGAAATAGCAAAAAACATAGCATTAAGCATACAGTACTCAATGTTAACTAACTTGTGACTAAATAGGTAAAAACTTGGTATCAAACATGCATAACTATTGGTAAATATAAAACATGCACAAATATAACAAAAAATAAGCAAATGTTACATCAAACAATGCATAAATGCAATACATAATTTGAGGTTTGATCTTCTGGTTCAGTCTTCATCAGCAACGGTACCAAATTGGTGATCAGCCTGGTACAAGTGTCTTTGAGTCACGACCTGACTCACGTGGCTTCACGATCTGGACCTCAGCTTGGTAAAGTAGTTCATCAACTGGGTGGGCCCGGTGCGCAAGTCTCATGGGCCAATGGTTCTGGTATACATTCTTGTCTCTAAGTGAGACAAGGTCTTCTTCCTGTAAAAGAAACTGGAACCAAATCTTCTCAGGAACAAAGGGAACTGGATTCACAGGATACTCAGGAACTGAAGAACCTGGAAAAACAGGAACAGCTGGATCTGGAAACACAGGAACAGCTGGATCTGGAAACACAGGAACAGCTGGATCTGGAAACACAGGAACAGCTGGGGCTGAAGAATCAGGATCAGGAACATCTGGAAACTCAGGAACAGCTGGATCTGAAGAATCAGGATCAGGAACATCTGGAAACTCAGGAACAGCTGGATCTGAAGAATCAGGAACAACAGCTGAAACTGAAGAATCAGGAACCACAGCTGGAACTGAAGAATCAGGAACAACAGCTGGAACTGAAGGATCAGGAACAACAGCTGGAACTGAAGGATCAGGAACAACAGCAGGAACTGAAGGATCAGGAACAACAGCAGCTGGAACTGAAGGATCAGGAACAACAGCAGGAACTGAAGGATCAGGAACAACAGCAGGTGCAGAAGACTCAGGATACTCAGGAACCGAAGTATCTGGAACCACCGATGGAGTATTGAAGATGGCTGCTACTGTTGTCATCAGGGTAGTGAGGACTTCATGTGTGGGTGTGGGTGTCTTTAACGACATAGAGTCCATGGTTTCACGGGGTGCACCAATCATGTGCTCCCACGCTTCGCCTATGTGCGCTTCGCCCATGTGGGATGTATGGGGAAGGCAATTTTTGGCCGTCAGGCATTTGTCAATCACTGGGTCATGGCAAATGTCTTCAATAGTCTGTAAGTCCTTGCAGACTCCTATAAGGTTCATTCTTGGGATGTTAAGACAAGTGATCAAGATGATCAAAACTATGCCTAATCTCAGGTGCTTCCGCTTAGTCAGGGATTTGAAGCGGATTGGTTGACGTTTACTGGGTGCCTGAACTTGGAGATTGGCACGTTGATCTGGAGTTGGAAGTACATAGCCTTTTGGTCTCTGTGGCATTTGTCTGTTTGAACAGACCGAGAACTCAGGACTTTCTAGCCAGATCAATTCTGTTAACTGTGTGGCAAGGTTGGGCCACTTCACTTGGTTCACAAAGTTGTTACCTGTTGGCACATGTTGCCATTGTTCAGGGCTCAAAGATGTTTCAACTCTTTTCATTCTGTTACCTACATAGACATAGAAATGTCTGCTTTGTTTGTAGATGTAGCTTGACATCTCCTTGCTGTCTGCGTAGAAGGTGGTAGACTNCTAAACCATGATCACTCAACCACTGGCCGGAGGCAAAAACTAAGTCCAGTGTGTGTCCTCCGGTGTGGGTAGGGTCACCAACTAATTGGGTCAGGTCCATGGCCGTCATGGAGGCCATGAACTCCCGAGCCACCTCAGATGTTTCACCTACCGATGGCAGATTGAAATCCCCCATGACTAACAGTCTGGGGGTCCCAATAGCCATCTCGGCTATCACACTAAGAAGCTCGGGTAGGGCTGCTGATACGTAGTGGGGAGCCAGGTACACAATCAGCACGCCCTGCTGCCTCCCATGACCCCACTTCACACCTAGGGACTCACAACCGGCAGTCTGCGGCACAGTGGTCTCTCTTGGGTCCAGGCCTTCCTTAATAATAACCGCCACCCCCACCCCGACCCTGGGCTCTCGGCTGGTGAAATGCACGGTAACCTGGTGGGCACATTTCAACGAGGGGCACCCCCCCCTCTAGGCCCAGCCAGGTCTCCGTAATACCCGCCAGGTCCGCCTCCCCCTCCGAAACCAGATCATAAATGAGGGGGGCTTTATTAACCACGGACCTGGCGTTACACAGCATCAGCCGGAAGCCCAGGCCCTGTGATCTCAACCCCCCTAGGTTGCAAGAGCCATGAGGGCCGGAGCGCGCCACAGCTCGTAAACAATGGGTGCGCCCTGACCTAATGTAATATGGCCCTCTGCTCCCGCCATATCTACCCCTCCCATACACAGGATAAACTGAGTTCGTTAGTTGTCAGCATTATTATGCAAACAATGTCTTATTCCACTGGATTCAAATAATGCTAAAGAACATGAGAATGGTTGAGGTCCTTGAATCTCAATAGATTTCATAATTGTGGAGCCACAAGTCATATAATATTCAGTAGAGCACTTGCGTTCCACTTAACCAAACAAAAAAAAACCTTAATCTGTACTTTGACAGTGCTTAAAGTGTGTGTGTGGGGGGAAAGTACTTAATACTGATCTAATATCCCCCCACTGGGTTGAGAGCTATTCATATAATAACTTCAAGGGATTTAGTGGTACAAGTTCATGCATGTTTGTGTATGTGCATGCCCATGTGCTCTGCCACTGATTAATCTCCATGGGTTTTATTTGGACCCCTTCAGCCACCGAGACTTGAAACCTGAGAATTTATTGCTAGATGAGAAGAACAACATTCGGATTGCAGATTTCGGCATGGCCTCCCTGCAGGTCGGAGATAGCCTGCTGGAAACAAGCTGTGGGTGAGCCATCCTCAAAACTGGGTCTTGCTGGTCTGTGATGCTGAGAGAGGTGGGAGGAAGTCAGCCACATGGCTCCTTGCATGGGTTGATTCACACATTATTGCGTGAATACCAGTGTGTTCAATGTAGTGGACATGTAAAAAATGAAATGGGAAGGAGATATATGTCCGGGAACCTAGGTAAGCTGTTCCTTGACTTTAGATGGAAATATGTCTTGCTGTCACACATTATTATTATTATTGTCATTGAAATGTAAATGAATCAGAAATATCTGCTGTTACTTTATATTTGAAATGTGAATTGCTCCTTTGCTTGCAAGTAGAGAGGAAAATTCATCAAAGATCTGCTATATGCAGGACAAAAACAGTTTTCCATCAGTGAAAATATAAATCTTATCTTCTTGGATGTGGAAACTCTTTACAGAACATTCTCCCATTTAACTCCAAATTTATGGTCTTATTAACATACGCAGGAGATGAGATTTAGCCAACAGATGCCAACTGCACCAACCATGGCTCCCTTGTGCCAGTGATTGCTATTCTGTCCTAGACAGGAGATTTTGCCTTATTCCAATCTGGAACAGATAGATAACTCAGAGGAACAATTGCTTTATTCTGGGAATCCTAAACAATGACTTACAGTTTGTAGAGGTGCATCCAAAATAGGTTTCTGCAATTTGATTGTCCCACAGGTAAATTGATATTAGATTTTCCCCTCTTCTCCTTCTTAAATGTCACATGTTGGGATGATTATGGGATCTCCAGCCGTGTGGCTGGATGCCATGAACAAGATGAACAAAAGAACTCCCATGTGGCTAGTGTCCAGGAAGTCTCCCAATGCCCTTTAGAAACTCCTCCCACTGACCTAAAGACAAACCCAGCCTTTAACCCAATAA